CCCCAAAACCCCAAAACCCCAAAACCCCATCCATCAGTATTAATTAAAATTTGAAGGAAATTAATAAATTCAATAATGGATCAAAACATCTTTGAAAGTAAGGATCAAGTTAAGTGATTAATTTTATAGATCACTTAGGTCTATATTCTGATATGTAGCTTAGCTTGCTAGGATTCGGTGATAAATGGCTTCTGTTAATCGAATCTATATTCTTTGGCACTGCATCTATATTCATTCTAGCAATTAGTTACCGAGCTCGCAAGCTAGAGGAGGAGCATATAGATTAATATAATAGATCTAGTTCTCATGTTGCTCAAGTTCAAAAGAGAACTTTCTATAACATTTTCATAAAGAAAAATGGGAGTAATGACAATAACTATAAGGATCCGAGAGAGGGAATGTACTTTAAGTCTATGTTCTACAATTTCCTTTGCTTCACCTGCTTTTGTAAGATATATATCTTTTTTAAAATGTAAATAGTCAGAACCATCGGATGCTTGGTCATACTAGGTACAACCTACAAAACTAATCTGTATTGGCTTTATATATTGATGGCTTAACTCCCTAGTCTTTTATTTTTCACAACATTCTCAGTGTTTATATACTTTTTTGCAAGAATCGTGATGGAAGAAGAGTCTGAGAGTAAGAATCTGCTGAAACCATTTTTCTTTATATTCAATGCTCTGACCTATTTATTCTTCTTTGGAATGGCTATGTACAGTAAGAATATTTATGATTGAAATGTAAGTAGACAACAGATACCTGTATTTTGACAATCCTTAGTTCTTGAAAGCAATATGTGGACTCTTTGGAGTGGTCTACCTAGTATTTGCCATTTGCATGACGAATTATGGAATGAGATTGACTCTAATATTGTCCAATAAAATAGAAAACTGTGAGAGGGAAGAAGTTCAAATACTCAAGGCTTACAATGTGAGAGTCATATCTATCACAGTTATAATGTCATTGATTTTTGCAGTCAGAGCTGTGTATAATTTACTGTTCACTTGGGGCCTTGTACCAAGATACTTTCCAGAAACAGTCAATCCAATATTCTGGGAATCACTAGTAAGACAAAACTTTTAATAAATATATAATAGTTCTAAATTGTATATGAGTTTCTACCTTGTCTTTTCATTATATTCATAAGTGTCTATCAAAGTGAAAGTATGTCAGACTAATTTTAATAATTAATGTTATAGACTTGCAAGCGCTGAGAATTAATGGTTACATAAGAGATAATCAAACTGATAATATATCATAGGATTCAGAAGAAGTGTTCGGCAGTTTCAATCCAAATTTGAATGCACAACTTCTACCTTCCAATGAGAGAGTGAGATCTAGTTTTGGGAATAATCCTTTAATGTGAGTTAATAAATTTAAATTGTTAATTAAAAGTCTTATACAAAAAGATAAGAATTTATAACAGATAAGAAATCAACTTTTATAATCATTATCATCAAATCACCTATCTACTTATTATTTTAAACACACTTTCTAATTCGATCTTACTAAAGAATCTCAGTGGAATCTACCCACATGAACCATTCCATTGCCTCCAAGGGTCATTGCTCCCTCTTCATCATTTTCCTTCTCATCCTCAAGAACCTCTTCAATGTCGTTTTTAACTTACAGCACTTTGACTAGCTGAGCAGTGTTCTTGAGCTACTCGTAGTCTAGGTCAAACTCTGAAGTGTCTTCATAAGGCAAAATAAAGTCAAAGGGCAGTGAGTAGTCGTTAAAGTAGTATATTATGTTCCAGAACAAGTTCTTGTTCTCTTAGCGCATTTTGCACATATCGATCTTCATGCTGTCTGCTTCTATGAACAAAATCTCAAACCATCTGTGCACCTAAGCTGCATTATAAAACACCGTGTTTTCCTCCTTAAACGACCCCTTGATGTTCCTTATTCTCTTGCCTATCGTCACCTTTAATTGAGGGGTCTCTATTTCTCTCCCACAGTAAGTACATAATGCTGCAACCTGCGGCTTACCATTCCTCTAAGAGAGCATATGCTATTTCTCAATAGCCTTTCTTAGCTATGCTGCCAGTAACTACCCTGAACAGTTGTTGCACTGCTCCTGCAACTTCAATTTTACCTCATCAAAAAGAATATTAACATCCTCCTTAGTTTTGAACGTTCTCTGTCTAAACTGCTGCTAGTATTTTACCTATCTGTAGAATCTTGAATTGGGGTTTAAAAATTATTAGTCCTTTTAGTTAAGTTTTTAATTACGATCATTTATTATTGATTCCTTTTTGCTTCCAAATACTATATCTGATTTTCTAAATGTTATATTATTCGTTGATATATTATTTGTTTTCTTAGGTGAGATCTTAGCTTATTTCTCTTATCTTTTTTAAGTTATTTTAAGATGTTAGAAGTATCTTTATTATATTCTGGCATCAGGCTTTAAATCATATTTTTAGAGTGTCTCGTATATCTTCTGTGTCATCTTCATGTTTCCGTATTAAAAACTAGTTTCAATCAGCAAGAAAAATAGATCCAATTAAGGTCTCTAAATAAAGTCTGCTTTAAGCTTGGCTACCACTTGCAGAACTTGCATCAGCCTGAAGAATTTCTCCCTATCATCTTGCATCCAAAGAGTAGCACACCACACATAAATCCAAGTGATGTGCACATATGTTCCTTCGAACTTGCTAACCTGAGGAATATTTATCTTCTATCTCTGGAAAAGGGATTTATATTAGGGTCGACTCTCTGTTCTCCAATTAGTCTACAGTTATCTCTCCAGATTGGCTGCTAAGCATTCAATTCTAAATACTTTGGGGCTTTCGTATAGTCTTTGATTTAGTATAGGGAATATTAGATATCTAAAGCCAGAGTTACTCTCCTCATCTAAGTTTATCTCCAAAGGATACAGTTGAGGAAGATCTGGATTCATTAAATACGAATCTTTGAGTTCTTAAATAGAAAATTTAGAGAACTACACTGGTGGGGCAATATGCGTTTCCTTGATATCTTAGGTCTTATCAACTAAGAAAGGCAAACTTCTTCGAAATGGGGCGATTGTCTCTCCATCTTAAAGTTTTTATATAGATTCATTGAAGTGCATCACAGAGCATTAGATGTTATTATAGTTATTCACAGATTGCTAAGAGATAAAGTTCATGAATAACTAGTTTGATAATCTGTCAACCTTTTCCGTGATTATTTGGAAGAATGATAAGTAAAACTCTCTATTTATGATATATTAATAATCATCATTCTTACTTGTATTACTTATTAGAGAATTGGATGAACCTCTTGATATCGAATTGAATCTCTCCATCCTGGTCTCTTTAAACGAATTCCTTATAATAGGCAAACAGCTCAAGCAAAGTTTAATAGAAAGCGTTCCTGATATTATTTATTGCATTTTGAGATAGCATTTAGTTTTAGTTCTCTGACTTCAGAGCAGTTTTAACTTTTTACAATAATGAGTTGTAAGGCTTTTAAGGTAGCTAAGCAGTCAGGACATTTTTTGCCTTCACATGATTTCTCTATGCGCCACCATCCTCTAGAACAGTATTTGTTGGTTTGAATTACTAAATCTGTTCATTATTCAAACTATTTTAAGTTACCTTCATTTGGGATATTTGAATGATTAATGGCTTTGATTTATCATTGTTCTCATTAAGCATTTATAAAGCTTCCTCTAAGTCATTCTCTAGAATGCCAATAATATAAGGCCAAGGTTAGCATCTAATATAGAATAAAAATTAAAGAGTAGTTACAGCAATTAGAGCTAAGTTTATTCAAGTTCAAGTTCATGATCTCTTTTTAAGTAAGGTATCCAAATATTCCATTCGAAGGGATGAATTAGATTAATAAGACTTTAGGTTATTGGTAAAAGATGCTCTACTTACTGAGCCACTACAAGGATCTATATGCTAATTAGTAAACAACAATTTACAGGTCTTTCTACAAGAATATGAGTAAATATAGTGATAATTAGCTCAGGGGGCAAGGTTTTGAATAGAATATCAAAGAATGACCGATTTACAAATGGCAGCTCATTGATTGGTGGCTAAGTTAGTTCTAAGAATTTTCCTTGCTTTGAATATTTCTCATATTTAACTCTAGCTAGACCTCTTGGAGGTGCAGGACACTAAATTTCAATATAAATTAAATGGATAATAAACTACCTCTAGCACTAATTTATTTATATATGCTTCAATTACATCGATGACGTGATGCTTTGAAGCATTGTATAGATCATCCAAAATTTCACTAAAGTAATCGTAAAAAGGGTATCTAGACAATAGGCAAATCGCTTTTGGGATGTATATTTTATGAGACTTTGCGGGTACACTCTATCTCGTTTATCTGCTTTGAAATATGCTTTAGCCTTGATTCAGAGCTCTGCTTATATTGACACTAGAATTTAAAATGTCTGTGCTAGATTGATTCATACTAGGAGTATGTGAGTGCTGGGCGATGGATGTGATCTAGGACTGATTCCATGGCTCGTGAAAAGTATGATTCTAAGATATTGGAGAAGTATGTTAATGATGAATTCCCCTATTCGAACCATTTTGACTTGGCTATAAGTGATCTTATCTAATGGTAGGTGATGTTGAATTATGATGCTTCTACGACTCTATATGACTTTTCTTTTCCTCTTCATATCGATCATCTGAAGGTCTTCTTTCTCGAATAATCGGAATATCATTAAATATTCCTGTATTCCTTGCATTCTCTACTGTCTCCACATTGCTTTCCCTTGAGAGTTAAGTAATTGAGGTCATGGCAGTTGTTTCTCGATCTTGAAAAATGCTCAATCCTTAGCGTATTTAATGCTGAGAGTCTATTCCTTATCGTTCATTGAAGTGAGACATATAGCTCTCATGAGCTAATCTGTATTCATCTAGCTCCTCATAAAAAATAAAAAATCTAATTAATACTAATCAACATTTATAATAATGCTTACTAGGCAAATATTTTCTGAAGTCCTCCATCAAACATACAAGCTATTTGATGCTGCTTAGGCTGATCATGGCGATCAATAATCCTATATCCTTAGGGGAATGCAAACTAAATTATGATCATTAATACACAATATTGTAAATTAAGGAAGCCTTACATTAGGTAATTCAGATTCTACATTTTCATCTATTTTAAACGACTTCTTATCTTTTGGGGGAAACTTGCTTATCAATTAGGGCTTCATATTGGATAGCTCAATAGCGATTTGCTCCTTAGGGAGTTTTTCATGAATCAATTATGCAATTCTTTGCTGGTCTAGTCCAATTACGCAGAAGTAATCAACTAAAGTGTCACTTTCCTCAAGGTTGTTATAAAACTTTTCTTCCATCAGTTCCCGTTCCAGTTGAACTTAATCCATGAACATCAGTTTCTTGTTTTACTACTAAGTTCTAGGGGATTACTAAAGTTCTATTAAAAACGATAAGTGAATATTACGCTGAAGTTTTCCATTATATTATTAATCTTTTATATATATAAATTGAATTTATTTGTCAAATTCATCTGCAATGATAAGTGCATTACGGGGTTTTGGGGTTTTGGGGTTTTGGGG